GCCACCGTCGACTGCCTACAGCGATGCGACCGACCACCTCCCTCATCTCCTCGTCTCCTCCCTTTACTCCACGCAACTAGCAGATCAGACCATCTCCTACCTCCACCTCTTGTCCTCCACCTCATCTCCTCCACGCGAGCACCATCGGGCTGCAGGAGCACCTCCTTCTGCCACGCATCGAGCTCCAATGGGTAACACATGTTGAAATGTTGCATTTCCATACGAAAATGTTGAAATGTTGTGTTTTACGTACATAAATGGGTATTTTGAAATGTTGTATTTTACGTACAGAAATGTTGAAATTCTAAAATAATAGATGAAAAAAATATGAATTGAGAGGTGACCGTGATGGGTATTTTTACCCACTATTACCTGCACCCGACTGGGTACGGGTATGGGAACAATATGGAACCTGGGATGCATGTACGGGTTTGGGAAAAAAATATTGGGATGGGAGCAGGTTTGGGCGAGCATTACCCGCACCTGAACCATGCACGTGCCATGTTGAGCGCCAAATGTGGACCATGGAGAAATGCTTCAGGCAGAACGGGCCCTTCTTCCTGCAATGGGTGGCAAACATGAACTTCCCTCCTTTTCCATCTGAAGTCAAATGGATCAACCCCAAATAAGTATGGACTGCTTTTGTAGTTTTATTTTTTCTATGTTATTAGTTTGTCCTTGGTTGTTGTCTACTTCCTAATTACCTTTCTATTATCAATTGTATCTATCTTTGTAGCCTTGTAGGTTTTTACTTTTCTATTATATTATTTTATTCTCCCCATTGTTATTCCCCCCTTTTTGTAAAGTCCATTTTGTTTGTTTTATCTTTCTATTTTTATTTATTACATTGTTGTGTTTACTAGTTGAATATTTGTTTGTTGTTACAAAATAACAAACTTAGAAAAAAGAGTCATTGATCAAAATATCATTGTATGCCAGGTATATGTTGCATGCGGCTTATTACAACATTGCAATAAATATCATCTTTTACTTACGAATAAAAAAATAGGGGGACTCATACTAAAACTCCACGTGAACATGATTCAATCTGTAAAAAAGTTTACCCTAGTATGCTTGACCAAAGAATATCACATGACTTGAGATATATAGACGAAGGAAATATGCCCTAAAGGCAATAATAAAGTTGTTATTTTATATTTCCTTATTCATGATAAAGGTTTATTATTCATGTTAGAATTGTATTCATCAGAAACTTAAATACATGTGTGAATACATAAACAAACACCGTGTCCCTAGTAAGCCTCTACTAAACTAGCTCATTGATCAAAGATGGTTAAGGTTTTCTAACCATGGACATGTGTTGTCATTTGATAACGGGATCACATCATTAGGAGAATGATGTGATGGACAAGACCCATCCGTCAGCTTAGCATAATGATCGTTCAGTTTTATTGCTATTGATCTCTTCATGTCAAATACATATTCTTTCGACTACGAGATTATGCAACTCCCGGATACTGGAGGAATACCTTGTGTTCTATCAAACCTCACAACATAACTGGGTGATCATAAAGATGCTCTACGGGTATCTCTGAAAGTGTTTGTTGAGTTGGCATAGATCGAGATTAGGATTTATCACTCCGAGTATCGGAGAGGTATCTTTGGGCCCTCTCGGTAATACACATCATAAGCTTCCAAGAAAATGCCTAAGGAGTTAGTCACGAGGTGATGTATTACAGAATGAGTAAAGAGACTTGCCGGTAACGAGATTAAACTAGGTATATAGATACCGACGATCAAATCTCGGGCAAGTAACATACCGATGGACAAAGAGAATTACGTATGTTGTCATAAGGTTCGACCGATAAAGATCTTCGTAGAATATGTAGGAGCCAATATGGGCATCCATGTTCCGCTATTGGTTATTGACCGGAGAGGTGTATCGGTCATGTTTACATAGTTCTCGAACACGTAGGGTCCGCACGCTTAACGTTCGTTGACGACATAGTATTATATCAGTTATGTGATTTGGTGACCGAATGTTGCTCGAAGTCCTGGATGAGATTGGACATGACGAGGAGTCTCAAAATGGTCGGGAGGTAAATATTGATGTATAGGATGATGGTATTCGGACACCGAAAGTGTTTTGGAGGGTACCGGGTACTTATCGGGTCACCGAAAAGGAGTTTCGGGCACCCCCGGCAAAGATACACTACAAAAAAATACACTTCCGTGATGATATGTGTTTGTCACAGTAGGTCACGTTTTCTGTCATGCATGTACATCCATGACGATTTTATGACAGAATCAAGATAGTCATACATGTGTTGTCGTAGAAGTGTTCCATGACATTACCAAAATTATCATCATGGAAGTGTCCACTTCCATGACGATAAATCGCGCGTCATAGAAGTGCTTTCGTGAAGGGTGACCGACACGTGACATCCACCGTAACGGCTCGCCGTTAAGCTATCGGGTCCGGTTTTGGATCCGATAACCCGTTAACAGCCCGGACCAATGGTGATTTTCCACGTGTAAAATTCTCATTGGCCAGAGGAAACACGTGTCTACTCCTCGGTGGGCCAGATGTCGCCCGTCCATTGGAGGAGACATGCCTATGATGTGTCAGCACGTGGTAGGGCCCAACAGAGGCCCATATAGATTAAAAAGGCCGGCCTAGTCAAAGGCCCGTAGTACATACTCAGGTACTAGTGGGCCATCCCAATAACGACATGTTTAATAAAGGCCCATTTATGGCCCGAAGTCAGATCTGGCCCGTTAATTGTTCGCCGAATGTTTGGGCCCAATTACAGTCCAATAACTTTCGGCCTGCTAGAGACCCGATGTAGACATGGGCCCATTTCAGCCCGGTGTGTCTTTCGGCCTGGGAATGGCCCGTGCTGCCCATGGGCCATATATGGTCCGACGCGACATCCAGCCTACTAACGGCCCGTGATAAAGGTGGCAACAGTTCAGCCCGACGTGACTTTGGGCCTGTTAAAGGCATGTCGTATAATTCGGCCCATTGATGCATGTACTAAGCTTTCGGCCTCTTAAAGGACCATGATACCAGTGGGCCAACTAAGGCCTGAGATATGTTTTGGCCTGGTAACGGCCCGTCATATAACTGGGCCAAAAAAGGTCCGGTCTACATTTCAGCCTGCTGAAGGCCCGTCGACGACTAGTGAAAATTGAGGCCCAACATGCATTTCGGCCTGCTAAAGGCCCATGGTTTCTTTTGGGCCGTAACAGGCCAGTAGAATATTCAGCCTGTTAATGGCCCAATGCTACGTGGGCCAAACTAAGCGTTGGGTCCACAAAAGGCCCAACAAAAATTTGGGTCAAATATATGCCGGAGTAAGTTGTGGGCCTGGCGCAAAGTGTGAAGGCCCCAATCATTCGGCCCCAAGAAAGATGCAGGCCGACCCAATTATGGCCCGCTAAAAACCAGGCCCGTTAGAGGTGAATGTTTCGGGCCGGTCGACTACATCAATTTTTTTCTAGATAGCGAATGATGGCAGCAACTAGTAGGAATTAAGAACAAACCTACTCTATACAATAAAGAAATTACGGCATAGTAACTTAGAATAAACCTACACTATACAATAAAGTATTTATGGTATATTACATCCACTGGGCATCGAAGTTCGCCACCAGTGATCATAAAGCGCAACAAAGAAGCAGATTACAAAAACAGGGCACCATTGCAGCGTAACAAAATAATACG